TATAATCTTATTTATTTGAATGCGGAAAAAGAGAATTCCTGCAGGTATTAGCGAAAATTTAATTCCAGAAATAAACTAGCCTTTCCACCTCTTTACAGCCGAAGCGAAAATCATAATGCATAACTACGCATTAAATTCCAATTGAGAAACCCACTTCCTTATCAACGTTTCTTCCATTGGTCCCTAACATTTGCAGAACTTAAAAGGCTGAACAAGAATCCGCAACAAAACCAGCCGACAATCTGGTAAGCGGAAATCCTCTAAGTCAATAAATTCACGGGTATCTTTCCAACACTTCAAAATAAAACAGAAAATGAGAATGCAAACTCGCGCATTGAAATGTCAGCGGGAAAGTTACGACGGAAGCGGGTTAACATTTCCGTGGGCACGAGATGACGTAGGCGGAACGAATGGACAAGCGCACGGACGCCCGGTTTGGCCACCCTGCGACCACTGCCGCCGCCGCCGCCGCCGCCTCTCGCGGCCGCGCCGTAAACTCGGGTATTTGAATATCAATACGGTGCGTTCGCCTGGACTCGCACCTGGAATGTGCACCTCGGCGGCGCCGCGAACGCTGCATCGCAGTCATCTGCCTTCTTCCCGGACGACCCCTCCCTACCCACCGCTGGTACCGCCGGTACCACCACCGGTGCCCACCACCGGTAGTAAGACTGCCACGGCACTTGGCGAGTGATTCGTCGAACGGGGTTAATGTGGGCTGTTGTGAATTGGTGAGGCTATTCTATAGGTCTTATGGAGGCTTTTACATGAGTCAAGACGTAAGTCAGAATATTCGCTTTTCGATTGTGAATAACTGGACTTTATGTATGCGGGTGTGCTGTTTCGATGAAAAAACATTATATGGGTGGTCTTTTGACCTATGACGATTATTTACACGAGAGTGGCATTAAATAATTTACTGCCCAATTATTTTGAGCGCTTTGGTAAGAGAACAAGGGATGAAATTTGCGAAAGTTGCAAGTTAGATGATTCATTGTTCCAAGTGTAGTGGTGTTGAGCACGCACACATCTCCAAAATATCTACCCAAGCTTTTAATGGAAACGGGACTGCTTAAAGTCGTGGCAGACTTAAATGATTTGAAGTTACCATCACACATTTTTCAGTATTCAGTTCACATTTTCATTTTTCATTATTAATATTGTTACACTGTCGATTCTCTTGAAAGCTTTCGTTTAGTGGAAAGCGATTTCCTTATTGAGACAACAGTTTTACTTGCAGCTACAGCCATTCCCCTAGCACCCTCAGCGGAGTGGATACTCGGGACTGAGCCTGTACCAGTCTCGCGTCTATCCGTCCGCTCCCACCCCTTGAGACCGGTCTGTGGCCTTGCGCACCTCCAGCGGCCCCCGACCCTCCTTACGGGAGCGTGGCGCAAGGCGCGCTCGAGCGCGGACGCGAGCTCTCCAGCTCCGCGTACGGCCGGCGGCGCGGCGCCCGGCGCTCGCCACTCGGCGCCGCCCGTCCGCCCTCACGCGACGCCCCGCCCGCCCCGCCCCGCCCAGTCTTCGCCCCCCCCGTGTGCCACCTTCCACGCCACGCCACGCCACGCCACGCCAGCCACGCCACGCCACGCCATCTCCGCTCCGCTTCCGGGCCACATGTCGCCAATTGCGCCGCACCCCGCCCCTCCGCCCTGCCCCGCCCGTGCCTTCGCCCCTTTGCCATCCTGCGCACGCCACGCCACCCGCCACGGCCACGCTCCCCGCTCCGCCTCCCAGTCACATGGCCACTCGGTGCCGCCCTCATGCCGGGCGCCCCACCGCGCCCGTGCCTATCGCCCTCTTGCCATCCCGCCATGCCACGCCCCGCCTCTCTCCAGCCACATTCGCCACTCGGCGCCGCCCTCACGCCGACGCCCCGCCGGCCCCGCCACGCTCCGGGCCGCACACACTCCAGCGCGCCGCGGCGTCGTGCCTCTCGCCGCCCGCCGACAGGTGTTTGCCGGGCACTCGCGCGCGTCTCGAGGGCCACGAGTTTGAACCGGGGCGCACCTGCCGGCGCAGCCGCCGCAGCCACGGCCTCGCGCTGTTTGCGTACGGAGTTCGGTCCCGCTCGCCGCCCATTCATGGACGCCCCGCCCCCGCACCGCGCCGCTCCGCGCAGTGGGTCCAATGACATCTAAGCGGCTCTTCCTTTATTTCATAACATACCGGATAGAAAGAAAATTATCTATGGGGCATGCTGAAACAAGAATAAAGAAACTTATATTATTAAGGACTACCTTTACTTTTCTTGTCCGCAAAGTCATTGTATTTTTAATGACAACTTGACTAGAATGAAGTTCTTACATCCACTTGCAACATTTTCTTTCCAAGAAACCTCTTTTTCCCACGATCCCTTTTACTAGTTGTACAAAGAAGTTATATTAGTCATACAGGCAAATATTGCTCTCACGAAACTAAGAACAGCAAATGACTGGTAGAAAATTGCATTATACGTCTTGCACTTTATTTTCAAAATATATTCCGCTAATCTTTACACGCACTGAATCTCGTCACGAAATCAACGCTTCTCATTTGTTTGTCTGTGATTTCCCCAATTGTTTTCTTGATCTTATAACCCTTTCAAGTTTTTTGTGTGAGCTCGTGTAGGATGAATTGGGCCCACTGCGCGCGTCCGGCGCCACTGCGCCCCCGCGCTCAACGCCGCGCTCTGTGGCCATTGGTCGTTCTCGAGCGCGTGGAGTTGCGTCGGTCAACACTCCAGCCCGCGCTGCCGCCGCTCGGCGTCCAGGCGCAGCCGGCGAAAGGGTTTCGCGCACAGGAAGCTTTGAGAGGGAAACAGGCCGTTGACTGTTGCCCGGACGGCGAGGTTTCGCTCCCGGAGTATCTAAATCGCGCGGTTGTAATTTATTCGCGTTTCAATCGCGTCGGAGGGGAAACGCTGGGCTGGGTATTCCCGCTAAGGCAGACTTTGCCCGATGCCCGTGTGTGGTGGCGGCCAGGCGCTGCACGTCAATTCACTGGTGTTCTAAGCGGTGTTTATCTTGTTGCTGTATAAACGCATTTCTTGACTTGGAAATAAGGTTTTGATTCATTCAGATGCTCATTGAAGAGACATGATCGTATGTGTATGACTAAGCATACATTTTATCCCGATGTTGCGAGCGTGGTGCTAGTGCAGAAGAATGTGGGGGTCTTCAGTTGTTGATTTTGTAGTCCTCGACAGAGGACTTGCTTCGTGTTAAAGCGAAGAGTTAATCGCTGACATACATCTGAGATTTTTTTGAATTGGCATTCATTTCTACTAATCAGTTCTGCACTATTCAGTTCTTTGGCTGTATTACTAATGAATTCTCTCTCCGCAAACTTTTATTTTTTTCATTTTCTTTACTTGGAGTGCACACTTTCTTCGGTGACTTGAATGAGCTAGAGATTCTCATCAATTAAATGTAATTTTGGAATTCAAATATTTCCTTCAAATTATATACTACACAAATTGGCATTTTCAGAAGCGTTAATATTGGCAATCGCCGAAAAAGTATTCGTAGGCTGCAAAGAGAGCTCATTTATCTGAAGCGTGTCCTAGATGACATTAAGAAGTTCAATAGTCATTTTTTAATTAAACCCCCATTAACATTCCAAAAGTAGTGTAGACTGCCAAGACAACTGGACGCTTGTTTAGCAGTCCAAGAATGCCCGACACCCTAAACAAACGCAGTCTGCAAGTCAAAGGGCACAACGGCAAATCCCGTCGGCTGGAGAGTGCGTCGGCGCGGGGGCAGGCCGCTTCGCAGCCGGCGCCGCCGACGCAGGCGTGCGCTCGCGGTGAAGTGGCGGCGGGGGCGGCGGCGGCGGCGGCGAGCGCCCGCGCAAAGGTCGCGGGGTCGCGCAAGCGCGAAGGCCGCTGGCGAGCGCGGCCGAGCGGCGCTGCCTTGGCGGAGGCGGCGCGGTTCCTCCCCTCCGCCGCCGGCCGCCTTCCTCGGAATCCCCCCCTCCCTTTTGCCTCCCTTTTCCCCTTTCCCATTCTCCCCTTTCACGCCTTTGATGTCTCGACATCTCCGCGTGGATTACGGTGCACAGAATTCGTCGTCTACCGGGTCCCCCGCGATCCGTTGAGAATTTACCCCCACCCCCAAATCTTCCACGTTCAATTCTACAATATTTAAATGTGAATAATTATTATTTTAAACTCAGTGACAGCAATCTCTTACATTGAGCACTACTTCATACGATAAATTCCAAAGTAGGCGTCGTCCCTCAAAAGGAGTCGTTTAGAGGCAATAATAGCCCAGGTTATCTAGAGCCATTTGAAATCTTTTCAAGGTTTCTTGACTATCCATATTTGCATGCCTCCTCAAATAGAAATTATTTTGCTTTCTTCTGCCGACAATTTCGTGGACAGAAGGTTTATAATTTTCATTTAAAGTAATATTTAATTTTTGGCGCTAACAAATCTTATCAAACGTGTAGCTGTCTTCAAATACACTTCCGTTCTGTTGCTCAAATGTGACAAACATCTTCTACCAGGGAGATGAACGTGCCCCTTACCTCATCCTCTTGTTCCTCTTCTTCCGACAAAGAAACCAGAGCCGGACAGTTAGCGGCTGCGGCTGCTCGACCGCGTTGTCTTGGCAAGTTTACAACAGCTGTGGTTGCGGACCTCTACCTCCAAACGGCCACTGTGGTTCGTCGCGTATGCACATGTTAAAATCTCCGGGTCGCGGATGCAGATGTCTCTCGAGACAGCGTTTACCCCAACAGGGCAGCAAGTAGTGTTGTAATTTGTTATTAATCAAACGAAGGTGAACGTTGTCTTAAAACGTTTTGTGAAAACCATGCAATTTTTAATTTAAGACTTCGATTTCAATTTTACATAGTATGTGACAAGTTAGTGCGAATACAGCGTGTGCTGAGGATGATGGTACACGCTAAGAGAATCCCCTGATTTTTCATTCGATCCTGCATATTCATGAAACATGCATGTTTATTTGATTAAACATCCTCGCATTAACGATGACTAATTTGCTTCTTTGCAGCGGTGCAACGGGGTCGAGTACCCCCCACGCAGCCGACGGGGCTGCCCGGCCAGTTCGCGATCACCAACGGCGACGTGTCGTCGGCGGTGATGGCGGCGGGCATGAACGGCCATTCCTACCTGTCGTCCTACATCTCGCTACTGCTGCGCGCAGAGCCCTACCCAACGTCCCGCTACGGCCAGTGTATGCAGCCTAACAACATCATGGGCATCGACAACATCTGCGAGCTCGCGGCGCGGCTGCTCTTTTCGGCGGTCGAGTGGGCGCGCAACATCCCCTTCTTCCCCGACCTGCAGGTGAGCGAGGGTCAAAGCGGTCCACTCGGTTACGTAGCTTCTGAACTCCCATGGAAACAGGTTAAGAACTCTTCATCATTCTCACAAAGCGAGCTATTGATTTATTACCTCCTAAATGTTATAATTGTTTGTTTTCTACGTTTATTTCCACAACATAATACAGAATTCACATTTGTATTTTAACTCAAAATAAGGCAAGGTCATTTGCTGGTACACCAAGCCAATATGTAATCATTTCGTCTCCTCTACTGGTATATGAACAGTTCAATATCCTTATTACTCGTTAAACTGTTTGCGAAGTCATGTTTAGTTTATATGTGGCTGCACAAGCAATACGAAAAGATACATTATATTTACGTCTTCACTGCAAGCGGAGAATGAAGTTTCACAACAACTGAGGCAGTGCATAGTACGTATTTTCAAATTTTATAATTGATGTTCAGCGCATCTTCTGTAGGAAATTTCACGAGCTCAGTATATTTGTCAATGTGCATTCTGATAGGGGCAATACTTCATTCGTTCTTCATTGCTAAAACGACTATGTCAAACGAAATAGTTCCAGTTCATTCTCCATTTAAACGCTTCTGCCAATAACCTACCAAAATGCCTCCTTGGGCGACTCTTAAACGATTCCAATTTTTTGCGAGGCAATTACTTTTTTCGTTCCATTAATTATTGGGCAATAAAATGAGACAAGTTATTGATAGCACATTGCTGACTTGAATGCCTTTTTCTGAACTCAGAAATAATTAGCACTGATTACGGGGAACGTGTGTTCTCTATCAGATATAAGGTAGTTACTATTGTTTCAATATGATTTATCTATTAATAAATTGTGAAATTTAGTGATCCCTGTTGTCCATATGTGTCTTAAATACTACGCACGTAGTAAACTCTCAACGACCAGAATTGATTCAAAGGTTTTTTCTCTACCCGTGGTCTGCTCATATCAGCAGGCCGCGTCAAACCTCCCAGCGCAGGTGACATAAAATTTAAAACGGGGCTGGTAATGGGGCACATTAAATAATCTATAAAGTCAGTAATAAGCGATTTAGTCCGTCGCCAGGGCGCTTGTCTTTTCAAGCCATTAGGCGTTTCCAAACCGGCCTGCGTGACCTCCCACGGCGACGGCTGTTAATGCGACGTTCGTATGCATGAGAGGTGGCGAGGACGGGGCGGCGCCGGCGTCGATGGGGGCGGGGCTTTCCGGCGAGTCGCGAACCGAACCCCGGGTAGCTTCGCGGTGTCCCGCAAGAAGCGCCGAGGAGGCGGCGGCGGGGGCGGGGGCGGCGTCGCCGTGGGCGGAGGTCACGCGGTTGCCTCCGTCGCCGCGAGGTCTCGCGTTTCTCACGTGAACCGGAAAGAGCAGCGTTGGCGGCGGCGGCGACGGCCACGTGTTCAGGGCGGCGGTCTCAAGGAATTATAATAACTCTGCCTCCTGGCGTCTCTTTTACGACGAGCGAACCGGGATTCTGGTAGATTTTAAAAGAGTTATTGCGAGGAGGCATGCAAGGAAGATTGCAGTGACTCGATTTCATCCGCTTTCCAATGCATATGTGATAAATTAAGTGGTAGGCGTTGTATTATTGTAATTGTGTTCACGTTTCGATGCAGTTACACATTTTATTATGCGCATGAATGGTAAAAGTCACTGAAATTGTTCACACCATTTAAAAAAAACATTTACTATTCATGCGCTTGATAATTATGTTTTTAAATATTCCAAGACTTGTTTATTCGATGTATTTTATGAAATTCTGTTTTGCGTAATTCGCGATATACAGATCAATTAACATTCATCACAATGTATATGATATGTCTATTCATTAAAGCGCAGTGGATTAACAACATACTACAACCATTATTAATAAATTTTGTTACTAAACCGTTAGTAAAACCGTTTCTCAGGTTTCATGCAAAATAATATACTTTAAATTAGATTTCAAGACATCTGGATTTGCGTATCTTACGCGATCCTCCTCAAACTTCAGCCGCCAAATTCTTGAATTTGACTTGGATTCCGACCGTCTCCGTATGCCCCGGGCGGCGTTGGCTGCGCGTGGGTTCGCTGCATCTGCAGGGCGGGGCGCGTTGCCGCGTGCCAGTCCGTCCGCCTTGCCTTGCCTCGCCTCGCCTCGCCTCGCCTCGCCTCGCCTCGCCTCGCCTCGCCTCGCCTCGCCTCGCCTCGCACCTCCCTGCCCGCTAATTGCGCCGCTGGCCGCACTTCAACGCGCCGCGATCACGTCGTGTGTAGACACCCATAAAACACGCCCGTTCGAGAATGTTTCGTTTCTTAAGCCGGGAGGATTGTGACGAGTCGGTACGGGCCCGTAACAGGGACCGGAATTCCATTACGGATGCCGCCTGGTGATGCGGCGCGGAGGGAAGTGGAGGTGTGAGACGCGGGACGGGACGAAGTGGGGTGGTGGGCGGGAAGCTGTGCGGAGCGCAGCGGGGCGGCAGGGGCTGGGCGCAGCTGGGCATCGCCGGCGGGGCGGGTACAACCTAAGACGCCTGTTCCTGGAACACCGCGAGAGCGCACGCACACACACGCGTTCGCGATTGATGCGCCGTCGAATGAATGCAGGCGCCTCGCGGAGGTCGTGATGGAATAATTACCCGCGGAGCAGCTCTCACCTTCGCTCTCCCCTCCCCTCCCTCACCCTCCCTCCCCTCCCTCTCTTTCTTTCTCTTTCTCATCCAGTCCCCCTCGCGGCGGGGGCCGCCCCGCCACCCGTCCCGCCTTCCACATCGGCGCCCCGTTCAGCAAGTCGCTGCCTCCCGCCGCCTCACGGCCGCCTTCCTCCGTCCATGAGTGTACGGACGCGCCGCGGACAGGTTTTTAAACGAGGGAATTCCATTAAAAAAGTTCTCAATGTAAATCCGGTATGCAGCCCGTAGTACGTGACTCCGCCGCTAGGGTCGCCGTGGTGGCGGTGGGGTCGTCCTCTCGTGGCCTCTGCGCAGTCTTCGCCCCCGCCGCCGTCGTTTCTTCTCGTTCTATTCCTCCGCGTCTTGTGAACTCTTTCTTTCTCTCGCTCGCATCTGCCGCCATTGAGCGGCCACCTTGGACTCCGGCGGTCAATCGCCGTTTTCGGTCGATTACGGGGATTAGCGCCGCGCCGTCTCGCGCCGGCGACAGGGCTGTTGACTCTGGGAGGTCAGATTCCCCTCCCCGCTGTCGGCGACGGCGCGTCCGCCGCCGTGATTTGTGCGTTGGTCGCCAGGTGCCGCTCAGGTCGCCGCCACCGGAAGACTCCGCCGCGTGGAGGGGGGCATTATTTATCTCTTATGTAATCCGGCTATCGTGTGTCTCCTCCATGGGACAGCGCGAACAACAAAAATGTGATGGGCGCCGCGAAAGGGGGGAAAAAATACGAAAAAAAGACGAGAGGAGGAGGCGGCCGCCTCGTTTAAACTTTGTTTATGATAAACCGACGATAAATTATTTTTCGAAAGCTACAGGCTCACACGCGTGCCTGCCCAAAGCGTTGCGTGTTGGCGGGCCACAGCGGGGAAGCTGGAAAGCACCCATTAGATACGTTAAAAAGAAAACCTTTATTTGCGAGTTTCGGGAATAAGGTGCGAGACGCGCTTGAAAGGTGGCCCCACGCGGTGATAGGCGAAACGGCGCGGCCAGCCATCTGCGCGCCCCGGCGCGGGAAGAGCGCTCAACCGAGTATCCGTGTTTTCTGAGAAGCGAGTTTTCTGTCCCGGGAGCGGCGCTCTGAGCCCATATTAATGTTCACAGCGCACTGATAACGACTGAATAACGAGCTGTGTACGAGTCGAAGGGTTATCGCGGCGGGATGTATTTAGAATGCGTATCGTGCAAGAAGATGAGATGAGGACAAGGTTCAGTGGGATGAACTTAAGAAATATGGACCCGAGAGGGAAGGATGAGGTAAAATAAGGCGTAAAAAACCAGCGTTGGAGAGAGGAACTCTGAAACAGTCATCGCTCCCGCTATCGAGGCAGTAATTTCTGAAAAATATACTTCCACAATGGAAGACATTGTTCGTTACAAATTTTAAACGAGCGGACATACTTACTAATCGGATAGCTTGTTCTCATTAAGTTATCTCTAATATGATGTGTCTGCTAAGCTAGTAGTAAATCGATTCCAGAATCTGTGTTCTTATCCTTTAATAATGTCACTAAATCATCTTTTCATAATGTTGGTTGTGTCTCATAAAAAGGTTAGTAATATACGGTCGAGTATTTTGAAAGTCAAAGTTTCTTCTAGTAACATTGAATGATATTTTCTGAATGGAAAACATTTTAAGACAGTGGGTGAATCATGTAGTACATGAACATATGAAATAAGAACAAAACCTGTTGTGTGTTTCGCGGAATGTATGAAAGCTAGTTTCCTTAGCCATAATGTATCCGAAAAGTAATTATTAAGTACAACTTATCTATTTAAACGATAAACATTTCATTTTCATCAGAATTGTGGGACTACTAGAAATTGTGATTATAATCTGGCCTAAAAAAATAATTGAATCCATTGACAGAGGACTCGGGTCTTCAGTTAATGTGCTTCCTTGTTTCTCGCATGTCCCACGTAGATCGTTGAAAAGAGAAAATATTTTACACCAAAATTCAGTTTCCAAAACACATTAAAATTTAAAAAAAATTATAATAATTATATTCAAGTAAATTAAAATAACTATTTAAGTAAATTAGAATAATACCATTGAACAAAACCGTGTGAGCGAAATTAAAATAATTGTCGAGGATAACCTCTGAAGCGAAGAGAAAGAATTATGATATGTATATACCATATGATAGATATGTTAGTCACCCTGTTAAATTTTAAGCTCCCACTTGCCCCACGCCACCGAGCCCTCCCTGAAACGCGCGATGTCGTTGGGTCGTTGCAGGTGACGGACCAGGTGGCGCTGCTGCGGCTGGTGTGGAGCGAGCTGTTCGTGCTGAACGCGTCGCAGTGCTCCATGCCGCTGCACGTGGCGCCGCTGCTGGCCGCGGCGGGGCTGCACGCGTCGCCCATGGCGGCGGACCGCGTCGTCGCCTTCATGGACCACATCCGCATCTTCCAGGAGCAGGTGGAGAAGCTGAAGGCGCTGCACGTGGACTCGGCCGAGTACTCCTGCCTCAAGGCCATCGTCCTTTTCACCACAGGTAGGCCGGCACATGCTCTTTATTCTCGCCCGCTCTCATGGACACTAACACGCCGTCTTGTTCGTTTTGCCTTTGCTTCTATTGATGCGAACGATAATTAATTACTTTTCGTGTATCCTTTATATTATTTTAATAGCCTCAACTGTGACCAAGAAAACTGTTACGACATTCGGGGAGAAACAGCGAAGGTTTAGTCATCATGTCCTAAAATGTGACCAAACAATGAAATTTGTACGTTGTATGGCTTTTTATGGCTTTTCGTAGCAATTCAAAGTCAGCAAGTAGAAAAAACTATAGTTAATACTCACAAGTAAAAAAAAAACACTACTTATTTGTAAATGTACGAACTCTATTGTCACATGTCACTCACAGAAGCAAGAAAACAATACCTTCATTCTTATTACATTTGAATTATTACAGGGTACAAAATTAGTTGCCATTTAATATTTTCTAAAGTAAGGAAGTCTCTTCAATATGTTGAATGCATTCTCTACTATATTTCTCTGAAAAACTCTTTCATGTTGAGAAAAAGGACCTTTCATGTTTCTCTTTATTTACGTAGTAGCAATTCCTTTCTTTTACAATGTTTCAAGTTCTAACATTTTCTGAATTCTCGACAAACGTGTTTTTCTTTGACGTGTTCTAAAATGAAGTTCATTCTCATCATATTTTGCTTCTCCAAGTAGACACACACTTCTATATAGGAAGAGTTAAGTGAATTCTATATAGGAAGGGTTAAGTGAATTGCACTTTGTTTAGAATGAAGCTATACTCGAACATTTCAGAAGAAAACCAGACATAAAAGAGACGTAGGAACATTCCGTTACGAATCACAAGAGAAGGGCTACTCACAGCAGGCTGTGTTTTCTCGTATTCTGGCCCAACGACTAGCGCCTGCGTGTCACCCCATTCAAGAGCGGTTCTGCCCAGTGCAGAGTCACGCGGAATCAGTCTCCGTCTCTCACGCGCCCTCTCCTTTCCCGTTGACCCTCCTTCCCTCCCTCCCTCCCGCACACCGTCCTCCTGACCCTTCCGCCCGAGCCATTCTCCTCCTCGCCGCGACGCATCTCCCAGCCGTGTATTATAAAATACCTGGGTAAAAGGTTGCATTGTTCGAGATAAAAGTGGCGCCATTACGCGGCGACGGCGCTGGCGGTGGAGGTGACGGCGCGCCGGGCAATGTGGAAGGGAGAGAGGCGACGGCGGACACCGGGCTATTGTTCGCTCCGCCACCGCCGCCGACGCAGCCCGCACGGGACGCGTGACGTCACCGTGCTCGCCCTGCGGACGCGACGCGACGCGCGTGCGCGTGTAACGTGATGTTTATAGGCCTCGTTAGGCACTGTGCAAGAAGCCCAGGCGCCACAGCCCACCTGCTGCGCGACGCGTGACAACCCTTCGCTCCTCCCCACAGGTTTATCCCAACCGATGTTGTCCGACACGTTGCGGGAAATATTAATTTACTCCGAGTCTCATAAAGTGAAAATGCAAGGTTAATAACCTTACAAATGAATATGTTTACTTATTCATTCGGAATAATATTATACGAGGTGGATGGTTCATTGTACATCTAAGCAAGAATAAAATTATATTCTTGGTTTAAAGCTATGTTTCCAGTTTCTTGTTTGCAACGGCCAAAATTTCGTTTGACATAAACATATATTCAATTTAATGTAGTAAAATGAAATTGAAAAAAATATTTTCAAAATTCACGAAACTAGTAAAAATTCTTCGCTAACAAGATATGTCTTATATCACCTCTGAGGGAGTATTCTTTCATAGCAACTTCGAAATTTCCATTTCTAGAACTGAAAACCCACCGAGACCACTGCATTCCGGTCATCCTATTACGAGTTTAGATAATGGATATTCGCTGAATCAAACTCGTTGTATATTTTAGGAATTGATCACGTTTGCTATCTGCAACTGTCAAGTTGTTCCTTGTCCTATGTATTGTCCTATGTCCATTGTATTCTGACACGACTTACGAAGCTACCGTGAACAAGAAAATTAAATAAAATAACCCCTATAGTAGATTAATATTCTTTTTAGGTGTCATATTCATTTGAATCATTGTTCATGATGACAATATGATTGGATATTGCATCCTAAACATTTTTATTTGGCTCAAATGTGTTTTCTCAAAAAAAAATAAACATACGAGCAGGTTCTGTCTTCGCGTCCGTACTTTCCAACCCACACGAACGTGACAGGTACAAGCATTGAAGATAAAAGGACGACGGAACTGAATTTCCTACGGCTAGGAAACAACTTTTTCATGTAATAAATTACCTATTCTAAACCAGCGAAACAGAATTGTTCTTTTCTAGCATGCGCACAGAATGTTAAGCAGCTGCTAGTATTCCTTGAAGGCTTAAGTAATTCTGCACTTTGTGTTTGATATTTTGTTTCACTTTTTCGGCATACCATTTCTTTTGTAATTTATGCTTTTAATTAGACACATTAGAATGCAAAAATGTAAAATGATCATGATATGGTAATGTGAATAGTTAGTGCACAGGATATGGTGGCAGCGCTCTTTGAGCTTATAATTAGTCATGTAAATGCTTTTTCTCAGAATCCAAAACTATCGTTCTTAATGCGTAACCACAATCGTTTAGTGCCGTCGAATAATGTTTCTTTTGACTTGTTGAGCAATCCAATTATTTCCGTCACAAATAAACTACAAACCGCATAATAAGCCATTTGTATGTTTTCCGTCTGCGAGATTTCCAGAATGTTGTCAGCTTCTCAACTTTTAGAAATACAAATAGGAGATTATTAATACGTCTCAGTTTTACAGCATGTAGTATTTAAGTCTCAGAAAAAGTAGTTCCAAAATAATCCCGATATAATATCTTGACAACCTGCTTCTATTTTCTAAGTTTCACGAAAAATCCCTCTAGGATTTTATGTATCGCTTGATTTTTTAGACAAAAGTAAAATTTACATACCCGAGTGGTTTTGGATGATTGATTCTGCTAATGTGAAAAGATAATTTATTATGTTATCACTTAGCGCGGATCAGATACCATAACAATAGTTTCGAGTCAAAAGTTTGTATACAACCCCAAACTTACAACATAGAATCAAACGAGTTCCATTCCAATTTTCAATTCCATCCACAGAGATCTTCAGCAAACGTCGCCAAAGGGCTCGGGAATCGCAAATCGCCAACGTGCGACATGTACATACCCACCCCCTGTGTTCCACCGCGCTCCCAACCCCGCGCGGCCGCACATCGCAACGCCCCGCTAATGGGGCCGCCTGGCGCCCGCCCTGCCGGGACAGCTTGTCACGCGCCTCGCCACGACAATCCCGCGCCACGCACCGCGGTGTCGCGCGCGGCTGCGTGCCAACAACGCCTTGTTTGCTTTCGGAGCGCTGCCGCTTCTTTCGCTCCTCCGCTAATGAGCGCGTTCAATTAGCGGACGTCGTAATAATATGAGTGAGGGTGCGTGTTCGCCGCAGAGAAGACATCTGTGGAACAATCTATCCGTCCGCGCAGTCGCACGCGTTTCTTACTTTCAGTTTCTTCTTCGCAAGTTGCGATTTAACAATCTGCATCTAGACTCGCTAATAGGCCGAGAGAAACACGTTATCTAACAAATCCATAACAGAGCATAATGGGTGTCCGAGCCGTGTATCACTGGAAAGCAGATCGAGAAAGGTGAGATAAAGAACGCTCTCGTAACACTACACCTGTTGGTTTCACAGCGATTACCCTCTTAAAGGCGCCACGTTACCCGATAACCTCGCGCGCCCGCTCGAGGGGAACCCCCCGCGGAGATATCGATTTCCAAGTGACAGGGATCGAGATGAAGGCTGCGAGATACGCGAGCGATCCTGCGGGCGCGAAGACAAGCCGCCGGTAAACAAGCGAATGGTCGCCGCCCGCTCGCCCGCCCGCCCGCCCAACGGCGCCGGAGCCTCCTTGGTTGAGCAAGCCATGCTACCAGGCCAGAGGGCGGGCAGGGCGAAGAGCGGAAGAGGCGGGGAAGAAGAGGGAGATGGAAGAGGACAGGGCGCGCGTGCGCATTGTGAGAGAGTGCAATTAGCCGAATTACGTCACACGCACGCGGAGCAGCAAGCGCCGCCCCGCGGAGAAAGCCGGAGATTGCGATCTGCTTGCGCCGCGACGGGCCCAGGGCGGTTCTGCTCAGGCCGAGACGAGACGCCAGCGAAACAAAAAGAGGAAAAAGTCAGAAGAAGAATGCCAGGCAATGAAGCAAAATGTACGGTACGAAGGATCTGGTCAAAGGTCATAATGAATAGAATGAAAACGAAAATGTTCGAAAAGGAAATAGAACAGTAACAGATTATAATAGTATACCCAAATATATAGTATCGTCTTGTGACAGGCTGCCTAGCGAATTCTGGTATCGCTTTATGTACACCCTCACAAACGGAATTTTGTTTCATTCAATATGTGAGCTTATTTGGTTTGGATGATCTCAAATTCTATGATGAACACACGGAATTTAAAGACTACGCGCATAAATTCATAGTCCATGTTCTATCAAAATTCGAACTTTATTCATACATAAGCAGCTTCCCTATGGCAAATACATTCAAATATTGTATTTTAAATTATTAAAATGCACGCTTAGTATTTTTGGATATTCATGAGTTTACTGAAAAGCGGTGAAGAATTATTTGGATTTTCATTTTACGTCCGTGAATGTATGAAATAAATTCATTTCAAATAATTTAAAGAAATTCTTAGGCGATTTGTATTCATCGTATTCTATACATATTCAGCATACGACAAGGCAATGTACGTCAAATTGAATCACTTAAAAATCCAAAGCACGAACTGCCTGACGCGTTATTTAAACCCGTTCCATATCAAAGTACGAAATAAAAAAACCTCAAAATATTACATTAAAAAAAGTAAGTATATTAGTAAATTTTGTAACACGTGATTAGGAAGGAGTGTATACATAACCAATTCCCAGTCATCAGATTTAGCGCTGGAAACATTTCCTTTCAACAATCAA